TTCGACTAAGGGAAGGTGCGTTCGACATACGTCTATTGGAATCGAATTCAAATGCTACGGTAGAAAATCCATCTACAGTCTGACAATTATTAACAACGAGTCATCTATAGTCTGACTTTTGATTAGAAAGGCAACTACAGCCTGACTTTTGAGAAGAACAAGCCTACTACAGTCTGATTATAAAGAATAATAAGGAAACATTTGGAATTTTATTCGTTTACAATATTAAACTTCTTGGAAGAACTTCGGATTACTTAACTTTTTTGATCGAACTGTATTTTTGAAAACGATTTTCTGATTTTGGATTTTACTAACCAAGATTTACCGGTGGAATTTCTATATTTTGTATTTGTTATTTATCTTCCGTCGAACTTCAAATAACCATGAGCACCCGCAAGAAAACAAACACGAAGAAGGTGGAAGAGCATGAAGAATCGTTTATAGAGCCTGGAGTAAGGGATGATAATTTGCGTTTATTAGATTTAATTCATTACTGTAAAGGGAAAGCAAGAAACGCGATTGAAGGTTGCCTTATAATGGAACCACAATTGAGATATAAAAGAGCTAAAGCTATTTTAAAGCAGCTCTTTGGACAGTCACATGTAACAGCCCGTGAAAACTTGGAGGACTTGTTTAGAACCGGGAATGAAGAATATAATGATCTGGAACAGTTGACGAATTTGGCGATTAAAATGCAGAATATTGCTTTAACCTTAGAACAGTTAAATTGTACAATGGAACCTAATTCCCTGGTTACTTTAGAACGAATAGTTAGGCTCTTACCTCATCGAATGCAAGCCCAGTGGGCAGAGCTGGGAATCAAGTGGGACGAAGAGGAAAGAGAACCTAATTTCAATGAATTGACGGATTTTATTATGTCTCATGCCGCCGATGTCGTCTCGACGTTGGACTCAACTAGTTCACATCGCCTTCAGCCACCGATGGAAGGGTTCGAAAACACTAGACAACATTTCCGCCTTATTAAAGAAGCTGGTATTAAGAACCCGAATGTGGGTGAGACTATCTCGGAAAACGATGAGATTATTATCCATTCTCAATCCAGGAGACTGGATCGATGTGCAGAACACTTAAGGGATCAGTTCAACTGGCCACTAGCCACTCTTCAGTTACCCACGATCTCCAGTCATCCTGAATGGAAAATGGACCTGAGTACCCATAGTCTTAAATGTAGAATCCATTTAGAATTTTTTATATTTTGGAAACTACCCATGTGTATATATTTGTGTTATGATATGGCTGACTCTTTCTGTTGATATATTGGTACTATATTTGATTCCATTTTGAGATTTAATCATTGTACATTGTTATTATTTCTATAAATTGTACTTATATTGAAGTTTTTATATTTGCTTCCGAACTGTACACATGTTGTTTTAATTTGATATATAATATGGCTAAGCCATATTTTTGGATTTGATATCGTCACAGTATACTAGCTTCACCTAGTCTTTTGAACTCGGATACTCATCAGAGTAATTTCGACTTGGAAGACGTAATAATTGTCAGGTAAACGTTTGTAAGGTAGAAAATCCGTCTACTACTTGGTGAAGACGCTGACAAAATGCAGAGTCTTTTGACTACTCTAAGCAACAACGCAAGCATGTTCGGGAAGCGGTTTTCCCCCTCGAAATGCAAAATTTTGCTTCAAGATTAGCTTGCATCGGCACCTAAACTAGTGATAGGAGTAGTAGTAGTCAAACGTGTAGACCGCTTCATTTATCACCGGAGTCTCATCAGTGCTGATGTCCTGGTGACTGACGAAATCTCAGCCACTGTGCATGAGTCGACTGGATGTCATGAGAAGTGTACTATTTCAGAGCTTGACCGCAAAGCTCAAGAGACAAATTCTTGACGCCGTCATGCACAGCTTTTTTATGAAGGGTTACTTTATTGTTTGCTCGGCTCCTGAAAGCCCTAAGTGGGACACAATTAACGCCAGAAACAGAAATTCGTGAGATTTGGTGAGCTGTGGCATTTCTAGCTCCAACCTTTACTAAGCCTTTCCCCTTTTGGGAGGCAGCATCGATGCAGTTGCTGGTTGTCCGAGGGAAAAACCTTACTGCTGTCACGTTCCTTTGCAGTCTGCAGTGCGACTGCGCTTACAGAACGTGAGAAGGTGCTTTTAGTCTCATCGTTCTCTAACACTCAGGAACAAAATTTGCAGCCAATATACTTCTGTTGGGTCATCACGATAGTCAAGACCGACCACCACGTCAAACTAGCAGATTCAATCGGGTAATCTCCGTCATTAGTGGTTGAGTTTGAGTATCCACTCAACAGATCATTTATGCCCTGCTTGTGAGATATCTGAACAATTTCCTTTTGTAAAACTAGGAATATGTGTTTTTGCTGGCAAGCGTAGTCAAGTTTTCTGTACACGCTTCTGTCGAATCCGCCATATCTTAGCGTGCCAAGTGTGACGTCGCGGTATTTCAGCTTCATGTCACACTCAACATCACCTGTGTCAGGAACTGCTAGGTGAGCAACTTCAGGTTGATTCACCAGTTTTTCTTCACTAATGCTCTGAACAGTCAACCTTAATGTGTCATATGTGTAGCGGCAATTGTGATCAAGTTTTTTATTATTCTGATTATTAGTTCCCTCTACTAGCTCTGCAAAGAAACGTTCAGCTGGAATGGGACCTAGAGGTAAGCCTATGAATGGTACATCTATCTGTCCATAATAAGTGTTGTTGAAGACAAAATGGAAGTTCAAAATGCATCACGAAAGCAGTTTTTCCAGACTGTCTTCAAGAACGTCAATTTTCATTTTTTCGTTTCCATTTTTGAAGTAATGATAAAATGTTTGTAGTCGTATTTTATTACCCTTCCTATTATCGGTATACCTGTCGTCCCACTATCAACTTGTACTTTGACTCATTTCATGCAGTGACTTTATCTCTTTTTTATTTGTGACTCAAATTAATTCAACTGATGGTACAATTCCACGTAAATATTCATTCATATTAGAGTAAATCTGATGAAGATCTTAGTGAAAACAATTGTTCGTTTATATAAGATGTTGTTAATTTCACTATATAAATACCTAATGTATGAGATTACACAATCATCATCGTCCCCCGAGAATTTAAGGCATTTGTTATTTTTATTGTTCTTTATTTTAGTTTTGATTACATAATACGCTGATTCGTTTCTTTCTGATGATCTGAAGTTCACAATTTAAACTAAATACATTCTTGTTAATAACGAAAAGTTGGAACATATCAGTTAAACTCAGTTGATAACTTTCAAAGTAATGTTCTATGATTTCATTTTTCAGCGAATTGACTATATCCAACCACTTTCAAAGTCAGCATGTTGTGGGTGATGTCTAGTGATGACAACGTAGCTTCATAGGCAGAATCTAATCAGCATGTGTCGTTTGATTTAAAAAAAGAAATGTATGAAATAGCTCACTACACATATTTTACGAATATGCCTTTTCTTATGTCTTAGCCTTGTAAAAACAAGGCTTTTGTTTGTGTGGTATACTAATATGTAGACCCGACATGTGTTTGAATGAATTATAAACCCAATATTCTCTAGTTACTATTTCAATATCTTTCAGTCTTGTCAATTATTCTCTTATAATCGTGGTTGCGTTTGCTTCAGAGCATATGTCCATTGCTTACTACTGTTGCAAATGTCTACCTTTATGTTGCCTAATTGTAAATACTGAATCGTACACTCTCAATCTAGTAATTTATTTGCATTCTCCGATTCACATTACTACGCCTCGGATTTACCGTTTGCATTTAGTTTATTGTCTGTCCGAAATAATAAAATTGCGAAAACATATTCACACACGAATTTTTCAGAAGCACGCTTAGGATTATTCATCGAAATCGAGATACAGAATATTTTCATAGCATATCTTCTTGTTCGTTAGCATTTGATAATATCGGGTTCCACTAAATATTGAAAATCAAATCCTGTCGACCAAGATTAGATTTTTCACTTATGTTACATACAATCACAAATTCTGAATCCATTTCCAAATAACAGAATTGCAACGATTCAACACATGTAAGTTCAGTCAGCCACACAGGATGATCGGTCGCATGTATGCGACTTTTAAACTTTGTTACAAGAAGGCGTTTACTTACTACTGAAAATTATCGTTGCACTAGACAGTACCGTTATTTAGTTTATGTATTCAGGGGCTTAATTCATATCAATATCCGGTTCACGGAGTCTAGATTTAGGAGCCATTCGTTTAAATTAATTGTGTGAAACCATCTTCTGGATCTGTTGAAATCGTTTGCGGGAGTGTGTTTTCACTGAAATCATTTGAATGGTGCAAAATCGAGGTTTCGATTTTGTGAAGATAAAAGTCGTCGAACGATGAAGATGACTGTAATAACATCATTGTTTAATTTCTACATCTATAAACTGTGTGTTTGACTGTCTTTGACGTCTACAGCTGTACATTTTGCTGAACGTTTAATTCGAAGTGAGCTTGTTGCATTAGTAGTTTCTTCAGTCTCACGAAATTGTTATGGAGATGAGTTTCAAATCGACACTAATTTTGAAGGGATTGTACTGCAAGACAATAAAATTCATTGTTGCCACAGATATTGTCATTACTTGATCACTTTGCAAATATAAACGCTTTTACTTTTTGTCTACCTTGGTTGGTTTACAATGATATTATTTGTGTCCCTTTAGGTTCACCGTTTCAAATTCATTTTGTCATGCGATTGTGGTTTATCAGTTGTTTTAATGAATTGCTCCCAACCACATGCTGAGGATGACTGCATGAAATGTACTATTTACACAGAAGCTGTTCCAATTTTTTAATGTGATACTGTTTAACAAAACTCAATAATTTCTAACGTTGTATTGAGAAGAAATTTCAAGTAAGTAAGCAGTAGATTTATTATGAAACTCTTTTACGTTATTACAGAATGTTTTAATATCTATCAAGTTTTAAATAATTCGATGATAGTGTATAGTAATCGTCTGCTGATATGATGCTGATTAAGGCCAAGTGTTAGCTGAAAAAAGTTAAAATTTCCACTGAATTCTATTGATTTTTCGGCAACAAATACAATGAGTCAAGTAACAATTTGCCAAAAATGACAGCACATTGCATTAGACGACATTCGGTGAACTAATGAAACGTATTATATATCCAAGCGATTATGAGAAGAAAGAAATTAAATTAAATTACCATATTGTTTTTGAAAGAAACCAGTCACTTGTTCGACATTGTCATACACCAGTTGATGATGAACTGAAATATCGGATAAAGGAAAAAATACAATCTTTTGTATAGAAAAATAAAAATATTTAATGTTGATTTAAAATTTTACGAACTAATGACGTGAATCAAGTTGACATGTTTTATAAAGCATATTAAATTTCTTTCAATGATTCACATCCAGATGAATGAATCCGAGGATTCAGTGATCTCAAAAACTCTCTCGTTAATAGTAAACAAGTAAGTTTATTTTTACTTACATAGTGCGTTGTTTAACTCCTTAAAACGATCGTACTTTTGAACAATTGACTTATCCAGTTCACTGATATCTGGTAATAGATAGAAAGTTGGAGGGATGATTTCAATAAAACACAGAAGAATACTGATGATTTATTCAAACTGACTCGATACTTCCAATATAATATCATAAGAAGTATTCCAATATAATTTTGAAAAAACACAGTGTTTTTCAACTGGAGGACTAAATGAATTAATTAGTTGCCAATAAGATTTAATGAATAAGTTCACTAATAAGGGTAGTAGCAAGATATTCGATACAGTGGAATAACGGACAAATGAGAGGACGATAACCGCCAAGAAACTCGGGGCAGTAATTGTTCTTTCATGGGAATACGTGATATCTCAACAGAGGTTTTTTGCCTGAATCTGCAATTCGGAATCAGATTTGCGGTTTTCTATCTTGTACTCTTACTCTGAAAATGTTTCTGATAAACAATGGAAAAAATGGTGCACAATTTTGACTTCAATCAGCTTTTTTATGTTCCGGCTTTTGCTTTCACTCACAGAATAGTGAATATATAACAGTGTAGAGACCATTCATGGTTCAGTGCTCCCGATTTTTCGTGGTTGTTTAACTTTTATCGATTTATGATTTTATGGAAATTAAAAATTCTCATTGACTCAGATGGAATTTTAAAGAATACTTTTGTTGAACGTTCGGACAAGCGAACTATGAATTTTCGATGATTCGAGACATCAATATAGTGTTTCAACTTGTGTTAATGAATCTTTGTTTAGACAGTTTTCATTCTGTTTGCATGAAGATTACATGTTTGGTTTACCTTTTTTAAAGAATGCTGTTATTTTTTTACAATTTCCATAAACAGCTATCTGACCTTTAAAATAAATCGAAAAATATTTGATTCATACGGTCGTACCACACATGCTGATCTTGCATGTCATCCGTCAATATCACGTTTAAAATCGGTAACAAGGTTAACAATTGACTAAATTTACACTTTTACGTCCATTTGAATGTATATATCAATGTAAATTAAAATCAAGTTGTAAATAGAACCACTAAATAAATTTTGAAAGTTGTTATTGCAGAAAAGCAATATCAATCGGTAAATGCTTATTGTTAGGGTCAAGGAACGGTGAACAACTGAAGAAATAGAAGTGGTTCAACTGAACAGTTTGCGGTAACAGGTGATTATTTCATATTGTCACTGATTTGGTATCAATATTTTTTTCGAATGTAAACATGAATTATGTAAACTGGTGAGTAGTTGAATAAAAGATTTGATAATTTCACAATGCACACTGGAATATAATCAAACAAACAAGAGTTTTCCAAAACTCGTTTTTCGAATTGAGTATGTTTGAGCATCGGTTACATCACCTACTACATATCTTAGCACATAAAGTTAGCTCACTCGACATTTCTGTTTTCCACTCTGTTTTGTTTCACTTCTTTGTATTCTCTAACAAGTGACTGCCCTAAATAAATTCATCCGAAAACATCTGTCTTTTCGCCGACGGTAAAAAGACGAAATTCCTCCGAGGAGATATATTCTCAACGCTCAGTGAATTATTCATGAAAACTGTAGTCAGATTTTGAGAAAACAGTGTGACGAGCACTACATCTAGCTCAGCTGAACTGTGACGTAGGCTTGACGTCGAATTCACTGCACCACACGTAACATTAATTTTAGTTGTTCAATTCACGGATGAGTAACTAAAGACTGCATTCTGCAGAGGTTATTCTGATCTTGATTGTAATATAAAACTTATAGGCGGGAATGGAGAAAATCGATTTCTCTAGCAATATTTGAACGGCAAGTAAATAATCGAAAACTGTTTAACTCTACAAACGATGAATCATTTCACAAACTTTTTAAATTTTTTTGTTGTTCCATGAAGCAGCTTTTCAAACTTGAAAAGTCAATAACTGTAATTAGAATGAAAAAAAAAGACAGGTAAAATACACAAAACTTCAAAGAGCAAGTGAGTAAGATAACAAAGACCTAAAGCTACATCAACAGTGATCATATATATAGTAAGAGATCATACATGTAGCTTGGTTTTCTATCTGTTCAATTAATTCTAAAACAAAAATTTAATAAAATGGATTATATAATCGTCTCTAATGCATTTGTTGCTTGGATAAGGTTAAATAACTTCCAGTAAAATAAATATCGAAATCTGTTTTTATTAATGTTTAAATGATATTCAGTAACAAGTTAACATTCGGTATGCGTTCATGGTAACCGAATGCTTTTAGACAATATCTGTGAACGGAATTTCTATTTGTAACTGCTTCATAAAACGAAAAGTTCACTTTTCAACGTATCTTAAGCACGTAAGTACGAAAGTTTCAAAAAAAATCACAAACTCTCTTGTGTTCGAGGATCTAATCAAGATATTATTTTAACCGATGGCTTTATTGGTTACGGATTCCAACTGTTGTATCTTAGCAAAAATATCACACGAGAGATATTTAGTACGTTGAATTCAGACGGTTTGAAAATATGTTGCAAATGTTTTATTACTAGTCATATTGACTGGTATACTACTTAATTAGATGAGCTGAAATGTGCTTCATTTTGTTGATATTTCTCGATAATATTCGCAAGGAAATAATGTTAAACTGAGTAGAGTAAACAAGTGGAAAATATAATTAGCTGAACCATATCACATCAACGTTGTTTTTGAGTCGATATAATTTATTTATGTAGGGAACGCTCTTTTAAAATATCGATTCAGACCTTGTAAAAATGAAGATTTGGAAATCGCTTCTTGTTTTTTACTTTTGCAGCTCAAATCTAAAATCAAAAACCAGTTTTTAGGTAAAATTAGGTCTTAGTGTTTCACGTACATCGATCAATTGCATCGTTTTTGTTCGCTTTTTTCTGTTTAAGTTTATCTGAAAGAAATAGACGTACATTTATACTCTAAAGTGCATTTAGTTTTATAACCAATTCTGTATGGAAATCAAGATTTCATGATGACAGGTTTGTAATGTTTCTTAGTTAGAATCGTTTACTGGTCTCAGTTGGATGATCGTTGAACACAATGTGGTGATCATCTTGATACTCCTAAATTTAGTGCATCAGTTCTCTGTGATATATGTTATATATGCGCATCACGGCGAAGCAGTCATACAGCTTTTCATTATTGCCAATATTGTTTCTATCTAGGTCTGTGACGTTAATCATATAAAATCAATGTTTATTGGTTGCATTATCAATTTGTTGTTGGTCAACGTCTGTAATAACGGTAATAAACAGAGAAGCATGTATCGGACTGGATTTGAAATCTTGAATTTGCAGGTAGTACAGTCAATCAGTCAAAATTACTCGATAATACCGGGCAACCACAGAATATCAATGTTTGTGAGATAAGATGTATACAGCCTTCAGACAGTCAAACTAATTGACTACTAAAAGTGAAATGATGACCAAATTAGGTTCACTATTGTTTCGATGGATTATTTGTGAACTAACATCAATACAAATGGCAGTAGAAAAATGTTGTCAATACCGCACAGTAAACGCAGTCACTTTTGCTTCTGATTTCCAAGTTTGAGTAGCGAAAATTCATTCTATCGAACTTGTTTCTCCAAAAACATGTACTTTAGCCTATATTCATTTGCCGAATAAATTACTGACTTCCTTACGCCTGTTACCCCCGTTGGAGCATAGGCTGCTCACCAGTTTTCTCGAACCAATTCTGTCCTAGGCTTCCCTTTCCAGTTCTGTCATATGTTTGTTCATTCCTCTCATATCTTTCTCTATTTCTCGGCGTAGTGTTTTGCTTCTTCCTGATTTCCTCCTACACCGGAATCTGGCTTGTTCTCTCCCACAGTTTGTTGTTGCTGATGGTGTCTGACCAACGAATACTAAGTATTTTGCGTAGACAGCTGTTAATAAACACTTGTATCTTCTGGAAGATGGCTTTCGTAGTTCTCCGTGTTTCCGCTCCATACAGTAGAACTGTCTTGACATTTGTATTGAAAATCCTTATTTTGGTTCTGGTTAAAAGTTGTTTGGAGTTCCAGTCATTTTTCAACTGTAGAAATGCAGCCCTCGCTTTTCCAATCCGTGCCCTCACATCTGCATCGGATCCACCTTGGTTGTTGATAATGCTGCACAGCTATATAAGGGTGTTAACGTCCTTCAAGGCATCTCCATCAAGAGTGACTTTGTTGATGCATGTTGTGTTGCATCGGAGAATTTTGCTTTTACGTTTATGTATGTTGAGACCTACTGCTGCAGAGGCTGCTGCTGCACTGGTCGTCTTTTCCTGCATTTGTTGTTGCGTGTGAGATCGAAGAGCCAGGACATCTGCAAAGTCCAGATCGTCCAGTTGATACCGTGCTTCACTCCATATGTTGACGTCTTCATAATCCAGTCGATGACCAGTAGAAAAGAAAGGGTTAGAGTAACCAACCTTGCCTGACACCGGTCTTCACCTCAAAAGAGTCTGTCAGCTGACCTCCGTGCACGATTTTGCAGTTGAATCCATCACAAGAATTCCGTATGATGTTGACAAATTTCTCAGGCACACCGTAGTGTCGAAGAAGCCTCCACAGTGTTTTCCTATCGACACTATCGAATGCCTTCTCAAAGTCGATGAAGTTGATGTCGAGTGGTGAACTCCATTCAATTGATTGTTACACAATTTGATCAGTACACGATCGATCTTTACGAAATTCCGCCTGTTGATCTCGAAGTTGGGCGTCTACGAAGTCCTTTATTCTGTTTTACAATACCCTGTTGAAGACTTTGCTTGGTATTGAAAGAAGAGTGATGCCCCTGTAGTCCTCATACTTGCTGAGATCGCCTTTCTTTATTATTTTGATCAGGGATACTTCTTTCCAATCTGATGTTACTTGTTCCTCATCCCAAATCTTTTTGAAGAGAATGTGAAATATTTTCTCAGTTGCTTCTATATCTGCCTACATTGACTCTGCTGAAATGTTGTCTGGTCCCGCTGATTTGCCACTCTTGATTTGTCTGATGACCACACAGATCTCCTCAGTTGTAGGTGCGCCAGTATTTATTGGGAGGTCCATGGATGCTGCTTCGATGTTGGGTGGGTTCATTGGAACTGGTTGATTTGGGAGTTCCCTTAAATGCTCTACCTACCTATTTCGCTGTTCTTCAGTGTTGTTGATTACTTTACCTTCCTTGCTTTTCACTGTTCGTTCTCGTTACCTTAGTCGCCGGCGAGCTTCTTTGCCGTTTCGTGAAACTGTCTCAAGTTTCAGTCTTCTGCAGCCTTTTCCGCCGTCATCACTAGATTTTCCAGATATTTTCGTTTGTCAGCTATGATGCTCTTCTTCACTTCCCTGTTTGCTTATGCGCGTGCAGCTTGTGCGGTAACATTCTCCGCTCTTTTTCGGCTGAAATTGATTGATGCCTTCTTGTTCCTCCTTTCTTCAATTTTTTCAAGAGTACCAACAGAGATCCATTTCTCGTGATGGTGCTTCTTGCGACCAAGGACCTCCTGACATGTTGAAGTGATTGCCTGCCTAGTCCATTTCCAATAGTTCTCCAATGTTGCTCCCTCTCTCTTTTGAGTAGTAGAGCTTGTGCGGTAATTTTCTTCCGAATAAATACATCTTTCTAAATATTTGGAATGGTTAAATGTGTAACTCACCCACCTATGGATAACTTATGTATTAATATGTTTTTGTGGAATTTCGGTTGTAAGACATGTCCATTTTCACACATTGAATTAATATGCACAATATACTACCTCACTTACTTATTTTGTCCTGTAACAGTTTCACACTGTAATTGAACTTCTCAAATTCATTATCTACGCCAACTGTAAATTTGGAAATCATAAAATGTGTTTTAATTCACTAGGAATTTGAATCAAATGACAATTTGATAGCCTAAAATATGAATATCGATATCACCCTGAAAGCAATTAGAATGCCGTGTTATTTGTTAACGAACACAGATTTATATATTATGCATCGTGTTTATTAGATCTTTACATGAACAACAGACTAATATTTTTCACTCATGTTATGTGCTACGTAAACTTAAGTCATTTTACAGTGGAAACCATCGAGTGGATTGTGCACAGATGTAAGAAAAATTTGTTCACATAGGCTTGATATAGGGAATAATATCTTTTGATTAGAATTCAATTTCACAACCGCAAACGTACTTATCACTCCATTCAAAATGGCCGTTACATCTAAGTGTAATGAAAAGAAAGCAAAACTATATATCAAAAGGCAGCAGTATGATGGTCAGTTTTCAAAAAAACAATGTTTTCTCCACAGCTTTTTCAATACAGATCTCATAACAAGTTGCAATTCAAAAGTATTTCTTTCATTCCAACACATCGAATGTACCACTCGATCAACGTAGAATGTTAGTTATCAATTCAGAACCCTATCAAAAGAACAAGAATAGTGAGCCCAGAAAGCAGATGACTTATGCTGGCTCGTAAAAAGGATATTGAACTTCTTTCATACATTACCAAAATATAAATTATTGACTCACGATACACAAATAATTCTTGAATAAAATTTCAAAACATCAAGAAGTTTACTCCAGTTACAACTTCATGGCGATCGCGATTTGAAGAGAGAGAATTGATATCCTCTCTAAATCCATAATATCTCATGAAGTGATTTTCTTGTAGATGTTAACAGTGGATGGATCTCCTTGAAATGGTCATGAACACTTTCCGAACGCAAAAATACACTATTGTTTGTGAAAATTCGATTTTCACAATTAGTATATAATTGATCTGATCGAAAAATTACTCAAATTGCATCGATTATCGAACTACTGAAACTTAGTTATTTCTAATATGTATAGTATTTGTGATCTTTCCTTCGATAAAGTTTGCAATAGTTTTATATCACGATAAATTTGGTGAGTGAATGCGTTCAGACTAATTGCTTATACATACCTAAGATCGCGTAATAATTGTGCCGTTCAAAGCAATATTTCAAACACAAAAATTAGGGATGATATTGTTTTGGAATAACTTACGATTGTCTGTATCTGTTATGACTGATGTAAAGTAAGAACAGTTTCGAAAACAAAATGCAGATCAGTAGTGCTATGTGATATATTTTATTTTAAAAAAAGTGCTGAGCAGACATTTGTTTTCACTAATAAAGGCAATATTTGGGTAGATTCGGATTGTTAAAACTTTATCAATAATATTATTCGTATTACTATTGTTATTGTTAGTAATATCTGTAGAAGCAGTAGTAGCGTTGTGATTGTGGTTGAGACGAATGTATAGTTTCGGAAAATATATTATCAGTTCAACATTGCTCTTGCTTTATACTATCAGTAAGTTCTCGAGCGTGATGATTATGTTACCATTGAAATTTTAGCCATTGTTTGCGTTTCTCAATATTCAATGTCCATATTCTTCTTATGGATTCGTGGAACATGTTTTATGTTGTAGAGTTAAACACAATTTATCTAAAAGTGACGACAATTTCATCGAGATACTTTTACAATGACTTAGTATTTGTGTCAGCATGTTGTCATTACTCCAGATATATTTTGACGCTGATTTATTTGCTTATTATTGGACCGTCTGAAGTTTCAACGTATCTAGGAATCGAGAGACGGCTTCATTTCCGTCAGTAAAATACAGTTTATTTAGATGTGCAGAAAATAACTGCAAATTTGATGGATGCATATCATTTATTCACACCGTATTTCAGCACTTACAGTGATCATATTTTTCTAATTAATTCACAAAAAGGTATGATTGTATAAACAAATAAACACATCAACAATCGGAAAATGTTCTGCATTCGACATATTTCTCAATTATTTCAATCACTACTGGATGTAAAGATGTTAATTTCTAACGTCATTTCATAGTCCGTAATCGTTTGTGTGGTATGAAATAGTAATCAAGTGACTAGAGATTAGTTTACACGTTCCTGAAAACTAACATTCATACGACAGCGAACTATTTCACGACGAAATATAGAACAATCAAGTGGGTATTCACTAAACATTTATCGGTGTCAAATATTTGAATAAAAATGAGTTTTGAAATTTTATACGATCAAAGGTTCGAATGAAATAACTTCATTTAAATCAGTACTTCACAGTGAATAACTTCATTGTTTGAAAATATATATGGTCTTTTATTGGCCAGCATTAAATATATATATATATATATATATATATATATATATATATATATATATATTAGTTACTGACTTACCTCGTAGAGCAGCTAAAGTGTTAATCAAAAATGTAAGCTAAATACTAGTAAAGCTGTTATCTATCTTGATGCTTATCAATTGACTGCAATTTTTTTTCATCTGTAAATGATGTAGCTACACAAACAAATCAGTCAACAGTAGAAATAATCTCTACTGCCGCTACAGAGCTTGACTTGAATGGACTCTTAAAAAAATCATTCATCAAAAATACGACTAGCGAAGCATTTTATATTTATCTTTTAATACAAATGTTAGAGTGATGTTACTTCACTGATATTTATCGTAACAGTCTAGTCTTTAACCAATGATTTAGTTCCAATATATATATATATATATATATATATATATATATATATATATATATATATATATATATATATCACCTGTATCATTTGCAGAAGTTATATTCACGCAAAACAGATAGACTGCATGACCGTCGGTAATAATGTTGAATGCATACTCATACATTACAACTAGAATACTTTTATGAAAGTAAATCAAGTTTCTGTAATCAACTTGACCGATGGTACTTTTATTAGGAATTTATTCAACAAATAATAATTAGTTATGTGAACATGATATCGTTGAACTTACCGTCTGAAAATTACAAATGTAGATGTGAAAAATTGACAATAATTTTATTATCAAGAAATAAATCAGATTTTTTATGATGAACATCTTGACTTTATGTACAACTATGCCATCATTATGTAATGGCTATTCACAAATCTATGTTTACATTACAGTTGATAATTATTATTAAATTGTTTGATATAATTTTCAAAATAAACAGAATTTTTGCTGTCCTTTTGTTGTTTTTGTTAAGTAGTGTATTTGATCATTCTCCCTGCAAGCATGGAAAGTTCTGTGTTGTATTCAATAATGCATGACGATACAGTATTTTGACACAATCTAGGCATACTACTTCGATCATTAGGTCCACAACTGATAGTTAGTACACATTCGTTAAAAAAAGAACACTTCCAACTTTAATTTATGTATCTTACATAGCATTCACTTATTCCGTAAAATTGAGAAGTCATTTGTTTCAATCTTATTTTCATTAAGGAGTACTGCGTTGACATTTTTAGACATTAAATAAATCATAGTAATTTCCAAATTCGAAAATAGTAGGACAAGTCGAGAACGTGAAACAAGAAGACAAACAGATGAACCAAAGAGTTGAACAGACAAGTGTCAGTTAAAATGTATCTGAAAAATTAAATACTGACTGAGATTTGAAAGTAAATTGTAAGAAAGAAAGATACTTAATGATTTGGAGGTGTATTTTCACGTCTTTTAAAGAGTGAATTATCTATACTCAGAATAGAGTAACTACAGCCGAAAAATTTGTGAAGCGATCAAAATACATTCAAACTGTCTCATGGTTTAGGTTTGTGAGTAGTAATAAGGAATCAATATGTGTATAAACCGAAATAGTATTATTCTACTGGATACCTCAAACAGTATTATAATTTTGAATTAGGCAAAGAAACTAGCGCAAAAAATGTCTGTGACTTACGACGTTCATCTTCGGCATGAAAACGTGCAACCATCGAAATTAAGTAAAACAGTAATGTAAAGTACATATTTCTTATAAGAATATTTGTGCTTCTTCGCGATTTATGCATTTCATATGCGATTGTGATACTCTGTATTTATATGTTCTTCAACCTAAAATCATTGGTTTATTTTCTTCCATAATTAGACACAACATTGTTAAGTGCATTAATGTGAAACGATTGGAAATTATACTTGACAGACATTTATTTCAACCAATGAGAGTGGATGGTAATCTTTTCGCAATAAACATAGTGTATTCATCATTTCTGGATCACAGAAAACGGAAGTTGTATTTGAGTAATGCTAAGATTGCTTCAAATCTCGAGGCATCTGTCATTCGAATAGTGTTTCCGAAAAAAAAAAGTAGAGAATTAACGGTGTACGAGCTAGTTCAGAAAGCGATCCATTCAATAGGTGATAAAGTGCAACAACATCTTCCTTTAGAAATTAGGTACAGTAACTTGCAGCAGTGATTCATTTTAATCACAACTGAAAACAGTAAAGTGGCATTTATAAAGCAAACAATGCTTGCAATATGAGTTTAGTTCCATCAAAGTCAGACTGAATCAGGTAGTATTGAGTGTATGTTGTGAAGTAAAGAAAGAAAAAAGGACTAATAGACAGTGATTAGTGCATCTGCACCAGCCACGAATTTACGAAAATCGATTTAGAGGGGTGAACTGATTTCCTTTTATGATATTCATAAATATGTGCACTATTTTGGACATTCTACAAATCATTCAAGTCATTTCGAAGAAAGATTATTGGAATTTCAAATAAAAATCGGATATGGCTGACTGTAAAATTGGTGGGTTCGTAAGCGAATGACAGTTAGTGAAAAAGCAATTAACGTTCGAAAACATTTGAAAGCGCCACAGCAAAAATACTGCGTGTAATTTCGGAAACATATTTGGACTAAATTATTATTAACAAAATGAAAAATACGTAGTGATTATACAAATTTGTAAAAATTTGAAGGAAGGATGAATTTCAATTATTCGCAGCAATAAGAGAGTAAGGAATCACAATGCGATTTGTTTCATTCAAATAATCTACTAATATATAAGTTGAAAGTCTAGGTTCAGAACTATCAAACAAATTGATAGCCTTAGATGTAAATTGAAATTTCTGTTTTTAGCTTGGCAATCTTTCTGAAGCTTCCAAAAGTAGATGCACTAAACAACGTCAATCTAATAGAGAAAACAAAAACGGTCAATGGTTGATTAGGAAGCAAAATTGATTGAGCACTATGATTCAATCATCAAAGAAAACATGATTTTTTTGCATTCCATTTTATTGTATTTGGATGAATTCCAATGTTCATTCAGAATTTACAAATTACCGCTAATAATATGTAGAGTTAACAGTGATGCTGTTGACAGATTGAACTAACACATTCTGTTTGGTTATCGTAGTTGTATTTTAAGCACGTATTTTTCAATTCAAATTGATCAATAATTGTTTTGAATGTGAATTCCACATTTGCAGTTAGACGACCATGAAAGTGATCTCCATCCGCGAGCATTCGGAATGATATCAAAAAAGCCGTTGAAACAGCAGTGATATCTGCTTGTAAGGTAACGCATATATCTGGAACCACCAAACCCATGGACGCTTGTGAACTGTTCCTTCTTTGCAATAAACATGATTACGAGCGAATTCCGCTGAGCTCAGCCTGAGTGATCAGGAACAGTGGTGGGTGTCGAAAGTGACAGCGATGGAAAAGGAAGCAACCATAAGCAACAGCAGACAGGTTATCCAACTTATCAGGGAAAGCGATATTATGAATCCGAATGTGTGCGGGAATATCTTTGTAAAGGGGGTAATATTGAAGAATATTAATAACGTGAGCTTCCCACTACACAATCATTGACAAGTAGGAGAAAATGCGAAACAGTTTAGTATCAATATTAGGTCACCCAACAAAACACACTCAATAGTACCGAATCTAAGTTATAAAGTTTTTCAGATGGGTTTATCATTTTTAAATCGAAAAGAGTTGACACACATTAAAGCCGGCTTCCGAAGCTGTTTTCCAATGTCGCTGAAAGTATTCCAATATTTACTGTAACAATCACTTAATTGACAAAATGCTGTTTTCATTTTGATGTAAACCAACGGATACTTAACTGACGTAGCAGAAATTATTTTCCCGTATAATGATAAAGCAAATGTTATGGAATAATCATACACATTTCATGGATTCGCTTCAGCTGTTAACAACCCACAATCATTGTATTATTTCAACAATACACAAACATGCATACGTATTTCACATTAGGAAAAACCTAGTTCAAATAAAATTGTCAATGTTCTCATTTCATTCAACACCCGTACGATTTCACACTAACGAAAATTTCGTATAATTCATTATGCATACACGACAGAATTTATTCCATATGTTAGATTTAAAGTTTTGGATATTATGTGACTTTCTTTTGTTTCCGCTGCAATATATTGATGAATCTTATTTTCCAGTATCATAGCGTTAAACCACATATCAATCATCAAGCTGTACTACTTTGATCCACCAGCAAGCTACATAAATATCTGTCATTCTATATACATATGATATACAACTGAAAAACTTAATCGAAAATTGTAGATAGTTTAGATGTTCTAAAGTGAATACATCTGAACGATTGCAATGCTTTATGCATGATATATTTTCACGGAAATAACTGTTTACTGAACAACCGACAAGACTAGTAAATTGGACAATTTCATCACATTGTTGGTTAATTTTGATTATGCTAACTGAAAATAATTTATGAAATAAGTCACAGCATGGAAGATCGACGACGACCGCCTTCTCAGAACCTGTAATAATCTCCCTACATTGATGTTTATATGCGTTGAGTGCGGTTGAAATAAAGTACCGAAACTACGATTAACGGCAGCTTTTTTGGTGGTGACTAAGTCTAGATCGAGTATGGTCACTAATTATTACTACCTAATATCCCATCACCAAATGCATAAGTATATGCATAGAAGAGAATTTATTTGATTGAGAAAGAGGGCGATTCATTGAGCAGTGTGTTACGAAGCATGTTTGTAACGCGATTAAGAACGTTGCACTTAAGTAAGTGAGTGTTTTTGAGACAGTTAATCACAACGAGTGCAATAATAAGCGTTTATTTTTTCCCAGTAGACTTATTTCACTACAGTCATTCGCGTGATTGATTCTCGCGAGATTATATATCGTAGCACACACTGTGACAGAGAGAAACGGTAAAACTAAGCTACCATACAGTAACTTAGTTTTTTCACTGGTACTAATCAAATATCATTGGAAAAGGATGTTTAAAAAATGGTGTGAAATGAATAAATCCTAATATAAATCATTCAGAAAATCCGTAATGTACAGTTATCAATAAAAGGTATCTTGAATAGTTTTTAAAATTTTGAATGCAAAGGTTATTTTTATTGCATATTTAAAATTTATTCCATAAACTTCTATGGAAATAATTCCATTGAGTGTACGTTCTACTAAGAGTTACATTCATTCAGTTACATTCAAACTGATTTCAATGACAAAAACGTCAACAATGTAACATTATTTTGTCCGGATAATATATGATTTCGGTGTTTATTTTGAATATGTGATCCGGTTTCGTTTATCTCATAAATCGTTTTTTGATGCACACGCAGATCTTTTCAAGTTCAGTTTCATTTAAAAGTTTGGTTATTTAAAGAAATAGTTTTTGTTCATAGCAATATATTTTCTACGTGTCTTGAAATTCTAATGGCTTAAGAATAAAATCGTATAGGTAGCGATAGAACGATTATCTAAGATTGATGGATTCATGATTTCAATGAAATTCATTATTCTTCAAATAACCCATTGATGAAAAATAATTATTATGTGCTTAAGTGAGACTCTTAAGATAACGAAGATAAGTCGATCCCTAAGACAATAATTCGATTATTATGTTACATTTCAGCCACAAAATGGTCTGTGTTAACGTGTGTTATATTATGACAATGATGGAATTATCTTAATCGCTAATCGACTCGCATTACGAATATTGTATTCATAGCAGGACATATAAAACTCACAGGATTATTTCACTTCATTCGATCATTCAAACGACGTTCTTGCTCAAGGTGAGTTCGTTCCATTTATTTTGTATTATCGTATCATTATGTTTCGAATCGCTCTTAAAAGCGATGATTCAATGACAATTATTATCCATTATCATTTTCGTGACTATACGATTATCACATGGGAGATATTGGCTGCTCGTACCTCAAAAATCTTGCAGCTTGCTAGGTTATTTGGTGGTATGATCACACGCACATGCACACAAAGCAGCAGGCTAAGCAGTCGAATGGACCTCATGCACGCTGGTAGCACATGTTTTCGACTACCCCAACGCTGGCAACGGTCTTCAACGCTATCATACACAAACGTTTGGAGTCATATACTCAATGGTAGTAACTTATGTTCTCGATATGCATCTAATGTTCAAGTATCGCATTTGTACGGAGCTTTATTCTCCGAATATTCTTCACGATAAACTCGACGACAGTTTTTTCACCTACCTACAGTCACATGATTTATCGATGAGCCTTGCCGTAATGTTTATATTTTGATCGAATTCCGCCTTGATTCACCACGCCTCGATTATTTTCGCTACTACCCGCTTACCATATTCATTTGATCTTCGTTTACTATGCGACCTTATGAACGTACTCGGACATGTAAATTGAATTTTTTTAACTTTAGATGTTTTCCGACAATTTCGATATTTTTCGCAAACATAGACCTTTATAGTATACTTGTTTGCTGGAGGCCGGCTATTGTAGTGCCTCCACGTACATTCCAGTTCGCTCATATCTAACTTGCTTTAGTAGTTTCGAATATTTTACTTAATCAAGCCATTTATATGTACCGTTCGCTCTTATTATTGTCTGGATAGTATGAGCTCACATCACGTTTCTCACATGTCAAGTGACCTTGTCAACCATTCGTGACATTTATTTATATGCT